AGATGTTGCGGTGCGGTAAAGATGTTGATGATGAAGATATTTTTTTTGAGAATGTATTTTTTGGATGACTGAGTCAGTCTCCAAGTGGGAGAATTGTTAGGTAGTGGAGCCTGATTAATTTTAGGTTTTCCTATTTATTCTCTATTTTAGGTTTTCCTATTTATTCTCTATTTTAGGTTTTCCTATTTATTCTCTGTAACCAAAAATACTATAATTTATTAATATAAATATACCTCACCGCCGTGGAAGTTTACTTACGGTGTGTTACCATGAAATATTGGGTTTTCTCTTTCTCTCTCTAGATCTCTCATCTCTTTCTCTTGAAAGTTCTTGTGTTCTTCATTCATCTAGTGTGTGTGCGTGAATTCAATCCTAACAGACATTATCCTCAATCGGTATTCGCAACCGCTAGCTATCACTATATAATTTTTAAGAAAATATTTTGTTAATATATAAGTATTAGATTGATTTAATATTTTATTAAACCTCTTAACAATCAACTAAAAAATAAAGAATTTTTTGTATACATAAAGGTGTTAAAAATAATATTTTAATTATTTAGTATGCAAATTTTAACACAACGTCCCAATAGTTAATATTTGTATTTTTATTCATACATCTATATCTAAATACACATCTTAATATTCATACGTCTTAGTCTAAGCATATTAAACATATAACTAATTGAAGCATGCAATTTTGGTCCTACTATTGGTGAATATTAAATTATCTACCATTTGATTATTCATGTGTCATGTTTAATTTGTATATTTATATTTAACAATAATATAATTTTATAAATAGTTAAATGAAAACATAGAGTCCACTTTGAAGGGATAAACACCATTTTGATTACCAGAAAATGCTCTTCAAAAATTGTTATTAAAGTACTAAATATAGTCTTAAAATGCTCTTCTTCCACCCCTATTTGATGAAATTTGCCCCTACTATTCTTTCCAAACTTATTATTGCCACTCAATTGCCGGCCCAATTATTGGACCATGTACAAAACTTTTAATTAAACTAGTGATTAGAGGTGTATAAAATCAAACTTAAAATTGAATCAAAATATAAATCGAGCTAAATAAAAAAAAATTTTGATTAGTGATTTTATTTGATTTGATTTGATGTTGGAAAAAAAACTCGACTATATTTGGATTGGTTTGGTTTCAACTGAAAAAACTAATTTGAGACTAAATCAATGCGACATTATATATATAATTATAAAATTTTATTTTATACGTCAAAATACTTACTTTGATATAATTTTTAAATATATTTTATACTCTTTCATAGTTTTTATCTTTTAATATATTTATTTCATGTTTGGAAGTTAGAATTTTAATGATCTAATAAAGATATAGTTCATACATTTGGTAATTATAATAAAGTTTGAACAAAAACAAATTAATACTGATTCAAAAAGAAAATCAATTCAACACTAGGAAGTACAGTAATATTAAATATTTTTTTAGTTATACATAAATTTAGACAATTAAAATAGATGATCTAATTTTACTTTCTTTTAATATTTAGTCATGTAACTAATACTTACTAAACTTATTTAGCATGATTTAGTACTTTAAATTATGATCAATTTCATTATGACTTATTAATTTGCAATATTTGTTTTACGCGATTTCATTATTATTTTTTTTATTGGATATTTTAGTGTCACTAATCATATCATATTTTGTGTTATTTTCTTGAGAAATAACTTGAAAAGTTGCATTTCAATAGGAGTTAAAAAATATTTAAATTACAAAAAAATTATATATTTGTATAAATATTTTACCGAAAAAATCTGAAAACCCAAAATTGAAAACCCCTAGTTTTATTGGTTTAATTTGATTTGTAAATTCAAAAATCCAACTCAAATGGTTTGATTTGATATTTAAAAAATCTAAACCAATCCGATCATGCATACCCCTACTAGTGACCTTTATTTATTTTCAAAACAGTAACTGCCATTCATAGAAATGTTACTTTTAAACTTTAGTTCCTACATAAGACGTAAAATCTCACTCTCCAAGAGAAAAATGGTACAAATCAAGTCCAATTCTTAGGCCGCGAGCATGACTATAACGATTTTGACATCTGAGTAGCAGAATTCACGTTGGTATCCACCGTCTTTGGTGGTCTGCGGCCCTTGTCTGGACCACCAATGATACCCCATCTCTCGAACTGGCTTTGTCGAGCTCTTGCCCTTTCCTTTTCTTCCTCAGATTTTGATGCAAAGCAATAGGGACAAGAGACGGCATACTCCCATTCTGGGGATTCCATATCAGCATCACTCACTGGTTTCTTGCATCCATAGCAAAGTTTGAATGTTCCTTGTACCAAACCATGCTCAACGGAAACTCGTTTGTCAAATACAAAGCATTCCCCCTCCCAAAGGCTCTCTGTCTTGGGAACTTCCTCCAGGTACCTTAAAATCCCACCTTCTAGATGATAAACCTGGTAAGAATCAGCCAAAAGCACTGTTAAACAAGACCGTCTGAGCAATTAAAACACTACCATGTTATAACCATAGAATTCTTGAAAACACAGGTTTGCACATTAAGGTTTTTGAAGAATTTGCCAGTGGAGCAACTTACAACATGGGAATTAAAAAGTCTCAACTTGTAGGAAGATACTTGTGTATATGCCTAGTTCTTTCGTCTTAAATAGGCTGAGATTTCATGATACCGCATAGCAAAAATAGAGGCAACCCACATTTCAATGGGTTCTCTTTTTCACCTCTTTCAGTTAATTTGATTTGCCAGCAAAGAAGGGGGGTTGGAGGTGCTGGTGGTTCTAAAGAACACATGGATATATCACTCAAATTCCACTATACATATAACTTACAATGCAATGATAAGAGAGAAACGCATGTGCGATATACTTAGTAGTTTCCTGAAAAACCCTTACGAATAAACCATTTTGATTTAACTTTTACCTCATCAAAACCTTTGGCGAGGAGAAAACTTGAAGCTTTCTCGCATCGAATTCCACCTGTACAGTACATTGCAACTCGGGGAACCTTTTTGTTTCCTTTTTCCTTCGTCAGCTTGTCTGATGCTCCAGCAGAACCAGATGACTCCGACTTGTCTCCTGAATCAGCAAGTTTAAAACGATCCTCCACCCATGATGGAAAATCCCGGAATGCTGTGGTACAAGGATCAACTGCCCCCTTGAACTTCCCAACTCTAATTTCATAGTCATTGCGAACATCGATCACAACCTAATTGAGTGATACTAGAATTTAGTGAAGGATCACAATTGAAAATTAAAGTGGTTTTCTGTCATCAAAGAAAATCAAGACAGTTATCTTGAGTAGCTTAGGAGGCATTTGACCATGAAAAGTTGTCAAAAAAAAAATTTTGGACTTGAACTCCAATTTGTATACATGGTCAACCACAGTTCAATTTTCAATTACCATTTTACTTTTAAAAAAAGAACTGCCTTTTTCAGATTTCTCAATGAAACATGGCCAAACACGCACTTATTTGCCTCTATAGTCGGTCCTTGGGAGGGATAGCATGTCTTTTGCAGTCAATTTTCTTTAAGAAGTAGATTTACAAGAATTACATTTCAAACAATAGAACCTAGACAATGAATGTATCAGGAATGGGTAACAAATTCCTATACTTGATAATAAATTCCATAAAGAACGGACAATCCCCAAACTCCTCCCTTAAAAAACTAGAATATCTCAATATTACCATGCCGAGCTTTGCATGTGATAACTTCATTTGTATATCAGGATAGCAATACCTTGAATATGTATAAACCTAAACACTGATACCAAGCATGTTCACCAATAAGCTTGAGTTGGTTTTCAAAGTTGATTCCAGTTATTTGTGCAAATAGTCAACCCGGGAGAAACTGGGTTCACTTGTGGCATTAGATGGACCCGCATGCTGTAGTTATTTGTACAAGATACAGAGAAATTTTCATACATTTTGAAATACAAGCAATGAAGCAATTAGAAGTGTATATATGTATGCATAAAATACAACTATAACTGCAAAAAAAACTAATGCATTTAAGCATATTATTCTTCTACTATTAAACTTCATACTGGTGATTTTTGGGCATTTCATAAGAAAGAAGAAAATGGTTCTAAAATGCTAGATAAGTTACCAAATCAAACAAAATTTCATGCACAGCCCTTTTCGTGCAACTCCATCGCCACTTAGGCAGGTCAAAAGCACATATAGGTCGTTGTAATTCAGACCTCTCTATGATGGTGACGTTTGTCCAGACCCTTTTTTGGCTGCTATAGTGTATGACTGTTATACACAATAAAAACATTTGACATTTAGACCTTATTTGGTTGTTCTAGAGAGGATATGCAAAGCCGGTTATCTTGACTTTTTGTAAATGAAAACATATAAAAATTTAAAATCTCAAAAGATATTTGTGTTTGCTTAACAAAAAATTTTAAAAAGCTAATTCATCACTAGTTGTATTTTTCCTATAACAATTAAACCCTCTAAAACATATACGCAATTTTAAAATTAATTGAAAATTTTAAAACATATCAAATTCATTAGAAGAAATTCGTAATGGCCACTTGTTCTGCAGATTCCAATATCTTCGTGGAAAAATAATGCTTGAATTGTAAAAATATCTGTCCAAACTTTCAGCAAAAAGATAAGTCTTTTCTTCCATCAATCAAAATTAGCATCATTAATCATAAGGAAAAATTAATCAATATTTGATTAGGGCTTTAAATAGAGCTAATTCTATAAGAAAGTGTATTGGTATAATGATGGCGGCTATTGTTTTAGGTAAACCATTATTACAAAAAGGTAAAATATAACATCAAAAATAGCTTCCAAAGAAAACTTGGCAACTATAATGACATGTTGTCATAGAGAGGCCTGACTGTAACTATAAATCAGACAACCCTTTTGATCCGGTACAGGACTGATTTGCATGATTATCAATTGTTCACTAACATGATTTCAAGTCCCAAAATGTCTCTCCACCCTGTAAGCCTCTAAGATATTCTATACAATCTCTAAAATTCATCTTTCAAGAATGTGTCCCCACAACAGCTATGTCCCCAGAAATGCACTCTCCTCCTTCCACCACCGACCTTGAATGATATTTCCCAAACTAATCACAACACTTTATGATATTCCATGTACTTATTTATGCCCTTGTTTCTCCTCTTTATGTTTTCCTTAATTGCATTACAACACGCCTTGCTTTATTTTGGGGCTAGAGGCAAAAGACTTATTGGCTAAAGTAGGAAATATTAAGTACTACATTTATTTATAAAAAAAAAAAGGAAAATATGAAGAGTACTCTGAAGAGATAAAATGAACACTTACTAATTCACTCGGTCAGTCCAAGTACAAGCAAGTTCAATATTCTGAATTGCAACATAAACAAGACAGGATTTTGCTATTTCTATAGTAAACAAGTCCATTAGAAAAGATTATAGTTAAAGCAGGATGTTGCAAAAACACTGTAAAGGAAAAACAATACCAATTGTACCTACCAATTAAGTCAAATTTTGGTTCAGATAAGGGGCTGAATGCTCTAAACTACAAGATTGAGTAGGTATGTGATATTTGCTTGGCCCAGCCTTCAATCCTATATTGGACATGGTTATAAGTCTACGGACAACCCAAAAGGAAGACCAAACAGAATATTAAGTCTACTCCATGCATTGAAAACTCACGTGATACCTCTAGGCATACTATAAATGGGATGACATCCAACAATGTGGCAAACGCAAGGGTGCTTCTCTGTTTGTAGAAAAAACATGTCCAGGCAATTTTCAAAGGTATGAGCTACATTACCCACAAAGAATGGTTTATACAAATGGAACATAAAATCAAATACAGAATATTATGCACCAAAAAAAAATTACAAGATATGAAATCACAACTCAGCCGAAGGATATGAAGCAAACTAGATGAATTTTAGGCTCAAGTTGAAGGTATAAGTACATGTCAAAATAAGATTCTTCAAGAATCGATTAATCAATAATTAAGCAGAACAAGGATAAGGATGTTACTGAATAAGGAACTTACAACATCTGGATCACTAATCAATGCATTCCACTCTGTCGGTTTAATGTACTTGCCAACTCTCTCAATTGGTGAAACAGAAGGCATTCCAAGTGTAACTATCTGTTCAAGAAACATATGATGAGTGCTTAATGCTAAGTGGATGTACAATAAAGAAACTTCCAGGACATGAGGGGCAAAGTGGGGCAACTTCATCACACTTGGCCAGCGAACTTACCTCTTTTTTGAGCTTCACCCTCACGTGATCCCACCTAAAGGGAGCATCCTCACCCGCTGCAAGAGGAGAGCTGCTCATATGTCCATGATGAAGAGCCTCTTCCTCCGGGCTCACTGGTGACTCGATCAATCTAAGCCCCTTCAGACGCTCATCACTTTGAATGAATGCAAGAACAGTTTCCACTGAATCCCGTCTTCCGCATATGCTGCCATTGATTCCTTCAGGTGCAAGAATAATACCACCTGAAACACGCTGAATTTGATCAGCTTAGTGAGGAACGAGTAACATTGAAAATGTACTATCGAATAAAATATTACTTGGAAGAGAAACTGAATAAAGGGAAAAGGATTGACCAGCCATACAGAGAATACATCAAACAATGGGCGCTTCTATTCCATCATAGACAGAACCAAGTAGAAATGTTGAGAAGAAGAACGAGCTAGACTTCTTCTCACTTCCTTTTATAAAACATCTAACTTTTAATAAAATAAAAACTGAACACCTGGTTAAGGATAAATTTGAAAGGGTTTATCAACAAACAGAAATGAATCAAGGAGCATGCATATACTGAACAGGAATAACGAGCAAAACAGAAGTAGGCTCCTTGCGACCAACTTTTCCAATTATTCTAAATTGAACATAAAGGAGGATACGAAATTAGCTTATCATCCATCTAACATAACATAATACACACAAAGAAGTCATCTCTGACATGTAAATCAAAGCAAAAGCTTCCTGGCCTCTGTCAAAGAGTTATAGAAGCTAGTGTTTATCTATCAAATACCGTCCAACAGCGGGTCACTTAAACTAGAAAAACAAACTTGTGCATACTTCAAGAAAAAGAATAGGCAAACAGTTATGCAAGCTTGCAGAAAATGAACAATAGATATTCCTCTTCATATGCAGACGCCCCAATTCCAAACATGAATTAGATAAAGAACAAGGGTACACTTAGCACTGCATTCATCAAATAAATAAATTACCATATGCAACTAACCAGTATTGCAACTTTGAATCTGCAATAACAGGAATACTTCTACAACTTCAGCTGGGAAAAAAAATTTAATCTTTGTACAATAAAACAGATCTCTACTAACTATAAGCAAGTAAAGTGGCAATAATTACCAGTTTTTCACAAAGTTCCTTCAATGGTTTCCTCAAATCAGCATGGTCAGGAAAATCAGCAAATTTGTAGAAAGAAACCACCACAAGTTGTGATTCGGAGCTCAAAACGCTACCTTCAACCTCCTCGTTCCTCGATGCATTAGCCTTCAGAATGGGAACAGGATTTGTTGCAGAGAAACAGTTAGAGGGTGCAAGGTTTTGCGGTAAATTGGTTATAGTAATCTTAGGATTAGAAAAGAAAGGAAAGTTAGGGGGTTTTGTAGGTAGTTCAGATGTTGCTTTCATGGTGCAATGGAGTGAATTAATGGGAAGATTAGGGTTTGGTGAAAAGGCGGTTGATGATGATAGCATTCTGAGTGCCGCTAGTGAAGCACTTCTTGTATAGGGCAAACAGAGGATGAGGCCGCATTGAGACATGTACACTACACATGCCAAAACTCCCCTCACCTTAAACTTGGTTAAAAAATAGTAACTATGAATATAGTTTAGTCATTTCCTTCAAAAAAGGATATCTTATGAATTTGAATTTTATAACTGAAATATTTTGAAAATGACATAATCAAGTTATTTCAAATTCCATAATAATGTCATACAAATAAAATAGAAATCTTAGTAGGTGTTTGGCCATGTAATATCATATCACGATATGATATGGTGAGATGAAATTAATGTTTGGATATGTGATTTTACGCTGATTTCATCTCATGATTCCATGTCATGAGATGTGATATCATATTCTTCAAAAACTATGATATGGAATCATATGGGAATACCATATCACAATTTGAGTTATTTTAAGGGTCCGTTTGGTCATGCGATATGGTATCATAATATGGTATCATGATGTGGAATCATGAGATGTAATTGAAGTTTTGTTTGGACATGTGATATGAAATTTTCTTGTGGTATATTTTCTCATAAACATAAATATTCCATAAGTTCTAAAATTATTAAAATAACCCCAACTGTTTATTCAATCTTACAAGTAAACATAAAATTATAAAATCGTATAATAAATTATTCCGAAGTTATTTTTTTCCACTTAAGTAATTGTTTCATCAATATATTTGAGTAAAAATGAACACCTTTCACGGGCTCTTCAAGATTTTATTACTCAACAATCACGAAGTGTGAGTTAAAGTGATTATATGTTGATGAGAATAATAAATTTTGTTTGTGAAAATAATAAATTTTAAAAAGTAATGATATGATTATAAATTTTATTTACGTGTGAAATAAATGGTTAGTAGATATACATGTGGGGTTGTTTTAATAAAATATAAACGCGTGGATCAATTTTATAGTAATATAACTCAAATCATGATACGATATTACCATATGATTCAATATCATGATTTTTGGAGAATATGGAATCACATCTCATGATATGGAATCATGAGATGGAATCAACGTAAAATCACATGTCCAAACGGTGATTCCATCTCACGATACCATATCGTGAAATTGTATCACATGTCCAAACGCCTATTAATAAAAAATTAATCCACGAGTTTATATTTTGTTAAAACAACCCAACGTTTATATTTAAGAACCATTTATTTCACATGTAAATAAAATTTATAATCACATCATTACTTTTTAAAATATATTCTCGCCGACATAAAATTTATTATTCTCACCAACATATAATTACTTTAACTTACACTTAACGATTGTTAAGTAATAAAATCTTGAAAGTCCCGTGAAAGGTGTTACTTCTTTACTCAAATATATCGATGAAACAATTACTTAAGTGGAGACAAATAACTTTGTAATAATTTATTATACGATTTTATGATTCTTGTTTATTTGATAATTTGAATAAACAATTGAGGCTATTTTAATAGTTTTCGAATTTATGGGATTATTATGTTTATGAGAAAATATACACCATCAAAATTCTATATCGCATGTCTAAACAAAACTTCAATTTGATCTCATGATTTCATATCATGATATCATATCGCATGGTCAAACGTGCCCTTAGTAGTTCACTAGTTTTTTATCTAAATTTCATTTTGTTAGTGGAAGTTTCATTTGTCATCTTGTATTTGTCTATCACTTACTCTAATTTAATTTATTTTTTTAAAATATAAAAAAAATTATTACATTAAGAAAATGTTCATATACATGTGACCGTTTAGAATAAAGAAATATCTAGCAGTAGAGTGAAATTTGAGAAAGAGTTAATCGGGCTTCAATATGAATATCGAACATCGAATGAAAAAAAAAACTAGAGAAAGAGTTAGCATACATGCATGCATTAGAAAAGCTTCCTTTGAGAAATAATTGGAGAAGTATCCAGACCATTGCATATTTGATTTGTTTGCTTTTGTGGTGTTATTGAATTAGTCAAATGTTTTTAGTGGAGAAAAAGGTAGGATAATGACCCCAAGTTCAGAGGAAAGAAAAAAAAAATGTATTATGGGCTCAAGCATTTCTATTGACTAAAGCATTTTCTTTCTTTGTTATCTATAAATACTTGTTTTCACTCAATTATAAAAGATTGGATTTTTAGCAAAATACTAAGCAGTATATTGATATTCATCAGAGAGTACTTTACACTCATTCATTAAGGATCTGTTTGGTCATATGATATAAAATCATGATTTGAAATCGTGATATAAAATTATGAGATGCCGTTAAAGTTTTGTTTGGACATACAATTTGGACTTTTTATGTAGTATATTTTCTCATAAATACAAAAACTATATAAGTTGTAAAACTATTAAAATTGTCTCAAAATGTTTATATAATTTTACCAAATAAACAAAAGTTAATAAATTACATAATACATGATCACAAAGCTATTCTAAAAAATACAACATTTATTAATCAAACCTTAGTTCAATAAAAAAAATTAAATCAAACATAAGTTGTAGTTTTCAAGTTGTTAGTAACTGAGAAAAATATTTTTTTCAAATAATTTCATATTGGTTAGTCTTATCCACTCAATACAATAATGAATGTTGATTATTATTAAACACTAGTGGATTTGGCCCCGCTTCGCACGATTATTAAAGAACTAATTTACTTCAATCAATCTTATATTTAATTTTGTTGTCTACCCGTAATTATATTATGAAAACTCTTTGATTGACAAGTGCAAACAACAACCAATTATGTTGGTAATAGCTAATACATATGAATAAAAGTATGCAATGAAAATCAATTGTGCCATAAGGTTGTCTGAAGCGTGGAAACGACGGTCATTCATCATCGACTTCTAATGAATACTCTGTCCTCAAATAGAAGTATTGTCTGTCTTTTATGTTCTTTCACTTTACTTTATGTCCGTATTTCGATAGAAATTCTTGTACATGATTTGTAACGATCAGATTCTGACGTTATAGAAATGCCAACGAAAGGAAAATTGAGCCCAAATTTTTTTTCATAGTATTAGGATTTTCCCAACCTTCGTCCAGATTTGAAGGAAATTGAAGTCATCAAGGTGCAGGGAAATCTGGTAACAATTAGGTGGAATAAATATGGTTTTGATTTCATGAATAGATAGATAACTCGCTAACTTTACGAAATTAAATTTGGATAAGTAGATCTTCGAGAATCAATCTTAGCGTTAAGGGTATTTTCTGAGGGTAGTGAATTAAAGTGTGTTGTAAAAGGGGGAATTGAAATTTTTCTGAGAAGTTTTTGTCTCACTTTGTGCCGTTGTAATGAGGTCGTTGTAGTGGGATGGCGACAAGATAGGACTTCAAATCACAGATTTTTAGGGAGGGCTCATTGTTTCGATAATGTCGTTGTAGCGGAATTTCAGGTCGTTGTAGCGGAACATGCGCGAATTAAGTCGTTAAAAACCCTTTTAAACGACCTTATTTGGTACTTTTCAATTTTTAGAGATATAGAACGACCCCAAGGCGACCCTAGCTCGTTTTCCACCATTCTTGATGCTGAAGGTAAGTTTTTAACTCCCCAAATTCATTTTTCAATCTATAGAACGTAATTGAATGGGTCAATATTGATGGAGAAGGGTTTCTTGATAAATTTTATAGTGGAGACAACTCTAATTCAGATACTAGAGATCATGAGTATGATCAAGGGATGTGAGAATTGTTAGTAATCCGGGTAATTAGTGATTTTTTATTGATTTCCGTATGTTATTAATTATTTGTAGACCAAGAACAAGCTGAACGAATTTGAAAAAGGAAGGATCAAGTTTTTTTAGGGTTTCAAGCTTGTTTCGAGGTAATTGATGGTTGTGACTTCATCATCGTGTGATGTACGCATAATCTTGCTTCATTGTAATACTTGTATGTATATGAATGTTGTAATATTGATCACACCTGTTCTAACTGAGATAGATTAATGATGTTGCCATGAAATCATGATGTAAATGTATGATCTTAAAGATATACTTGTGATCTTGATTGTGGTGTGTAAATGGGGATCAAATTGCCATGTTCTGGCAAGCTAACTGGATCGGTCGTCACATTTCAGCATAACTTTGGATCGGGTTACCACACTCTGGCACAATATTGAATCGGATTGATACGTTCCAACATACTTTAGGATCGAATGGCCACGTTCTGGCAAGCTAATTGTTTGGATTCGAATTTCGTAAGAGGACCAATGATGTGATCAGCATGTGTAATGTGTTGTCGAACTGTCATGTTGATAATGTTATATATATTGATATATTATGCATGTGATTATAATGTTCGTTTAACTTGTTTATATTGCACTAGTGGGATAATTGTGTGATCCTACCAATACACAGTGGTTGTGTACTGATTTTGCACTTGATCTTATTTTTGTTGAGTATAGGGAATCTTCAAGCGACTATTGACAGGCCTCACTTAGGAGACTAGAGATCATCACATTGACTTCAAGGGTGAGCCGCATCTTCCGGGCTGCCATGGAGTTCTCTTTTGTCTATGTCCACCATTTTTAGACTTAGGCATTGTTTTAGATAGTTGAATAGTTCATTAGTTAAGGATGTATCCTTCTTGTTTAGATTTGTGGATCTTGTTAGATGTTTTGGTACATTGACTTTCAGATTCTAGGTATTTAAATTTCACATTTGTTAGTTAATTAACTTGCTTCCGTAACTTAATTTACTTAGTTTTAGTCTAGTTTCTTGGCTTGGGTTGTAGTAGTGATTCTTTTATTGTAGGCATAATGTGAATGCCAATAATGAAGGTTTGGATCATGACATGTATAGAGCAGATCTTCAAAACGGTTACAAATTTTTTGTAATAATGAATGAGTTTTGTTATATTTTTTCTTACTTTGTCTAAATTAGATATACTTCTTTAAAAGTTTTCTATTAGATGTGAAATGAATGGTAAGGGTCCATCCATCAAATTAAAATCAAGTAGGTGCCTGCAAGATCTGATAGTTTGTATCATATAAGGTCCACAACAACCATATGGACAAACAAGTTGGTCCAACCTCGATCA